TTTTTTTTCTTTTTGTAAAATAGAAGAACTAAGGTATAATTCTAATTCTTAGTATTTTTAACCTGCAGGTATGCAACATTTTCCTGGATGTACTTGCTGGCTGGGCTCTTCCACGAAACAGGAATGGCCTTCATCACTTATGTCTGTATCAACTTGTTTTTTGGCATCAATTCCATTGTTTCCCTGTCGGTGGTGTACTTTCTTTCCAAGGAAAAGCCTAATGATCCGGTAAGGTCCTTTATTAGTCTGCTAAACTTCGGTGAATGTATCAAAAGCTTCAATGTGTTCCAAGGGAAAGATTTTTTTATTATTATTCTACATTCTTTAAATAGAAAAGAAGAATATCCATTTGATTCTATTAAATTTAGGAGAGAAGAAACTCCTTTAAACAGCTTTTAAAATCCTTTTTGGGCTTCATCTAGGTTAATGCTTATCACTGTATTTACTGAGTGTCAAAACTATTGACATTTGATAGGGCTTGAGTAGGGTAATGGAGGTGAAATCAGATATATTTTATAGCACTACATAGATCATGCAACCAATTGGTCAGCTAAACTTTTTACTCATTAACAAATTCTTATGGGATGGTGGTGACAGACAATGATTTAGTTATATGACTGTGGGCTCAGAGTCATTTGAACATTCATAGAGAAAAAACTTCATTCTTTGCCTTTTCAATCAAGTATCGGCATCTATTTCATTGTAAGCATCACTTTCCATTCAGAACCGACAATTATGATTAGTGAGAAGAGAAGCACTAACAGTGCCAGGCGATTGAACAGAAAAGAATAGAGAGGAAATGAAGTGAACTGAGGAACAGACAAGCCAGCTCCAGGAGGAGGAAGAAAATTCATGAGGTGGAAGTAGTTGGCCCCAAGTGTGAATAATGTGAAAATGAGCCATTTGCTCCTCTTGGAGACATGTTGTCTCTCCTTCCATCTCATTTCACCATTTTAGTTCCTCTGCAAGTAGGAATTATCTTGGGTTCTGAAACTGTACTGTAAAGTGCCTC